GATCTTTTTCAAAAATAAGAGAGAGAATAAAGGAAAGGATATATTATTACATCGACTTTTAAAATAAAAATTACAGGATAAAAAGGTAGATTATTGACTCTACTTTTTTTTGTTTTTTGGTTTTTCGAGACAGGGTTTCTCTGTGGCTTTGGTTCCTGTCCTGGAACTAGCTCTGTAGACCAGGCTGGCCTCGAACTCACAGAGATCCGCCTGCCTCTGCCTCCTGAGTGCTGGGATTAAAGGCATGCGCCACCACCGCCCGGCTTGACTCTACTTTTAAACTAAAAAAAAAACTTAAAAAAACTACTAGTCTCAAATATTTCACATTGGTATGGATTTTTGTATATTGATACACATTTAAGGTTATTTTTGTTAGACTAAATATATGTTTCTACTCTTATTTAAGGTATTGTACCTATGCAGCTCATTTAAAAATATAATATGTAATTGTGAAATACAGGTTAGTAGTTAGTCATTTGTAATAATCAAACATGTAGTCATGTCAGATTTGTTTTCAAAGTTAAGCATAGATTTGTTTAGCTCAGATATACTTAATAATGGTCCTCAAAATTGTCAGAGATCTGATGAACATGGCATTTAAAATGTTTAATAGAAAAAAATTTACTTTCACAAAGACTCCCAAATCCCAGCAGTGACCCTGAGATCTCCAAAGAAGATGATGGGGCACCAAGATATGTCCCCGTAGATTGTGGTGATACTGACCACCAGGCAAGACTGCCCGAGTGTAGCACCTACCACCAGGACCCAGCCCGAACTGTGGACCAGCAGGACACTGAAGAGCTGATTGTCCCACTTCACCTGGACACAATAAAGTCCGTCTCTCCCATGTTCCTCCTCCACAGGAAGCCTCTCACCTCTCGTCCTGGCAGCTGAAGACTGATGCCGTCCTGGGACCTCAGGCATCTGGGATAACCGTCTAGGTAATGGACTAGACTCTGTCATTTTAATTGATACATAGGGCATTTGAATTATGTATCATGTATTTGTATTTATCCTTCTCAGATCTCTGATGGTACAGATGGCTGGGCTAGGTATAGCTTGGTCAGCTTAGCAGCAACAGACAACCAGGTTCTTCCCCAAGGCTGCAGCCAGCTTGTTAGCTCACTTCCTATGTAAAAGTCAAGACTTACTTTTTTCCCAAGCTACCTGGTGAGAAAAGGTAGACAGGTTTGCCTTGCTAACAGGCTTCATATTAAAAGATAAACAGGTTTCCGGTATAATTCTCCACTAAATGAGCACGATTTGAAATGATTGTTCTCAGTAATAACTAGTTGTGTCTCTGGTAAACGAGTCGTTGGAAAGAAAAGGGGTTAAAGTCTATGCAAGGGTCTAAAAAATGTTCCAAGGAGCCGGGCGGTGGTGGTGCACGCCTTTAATCCCAGCACTCGGGAGGCAGAGGCAGGCGGATCTCTGTGAGTTTGTGGCCAGCCTGGTCTACAGAGTGAGTTCCAGGACAGCCAAAAATACACAGAGAACTCCGTTTGTAAAAAAAAAAAATTAAATTTAAGAAAGAAGTAAATGTAAGTTGTAAAGGTATAAGAAATGATTTAAGGTATGTGAAAATACAAACTGTTTCAGATTTCCTTCCCTTTCTATGGTATTGTTACAGTAAGGTTTCCAAAGTTCAAAGTTTTAATACTGCTCACCGGAGTTCTGAGAAGCTGGTAGAACACTGACTAGTTACTGTTCAGTCACAAGCTCACGATTTTAGATTTCTTTTGGTTGTCTTCTTTTTAAGTGTAAATTTAAATGTGCTTCTCACTGGGCCAGACACATTTCTGTCCAATCTATATCTGGCTCTCTGGAAAAAGACAAAAATATTCATGCTTTTTAACCCAAATCTGCAGCTTATGCTAGGACCCAAAGGTGTGCGTCGGCCCCAGTTTTTACAGACACCTGCTACTTAAATGCTCTACAGTGAGGAAATCAATACATATTGGTAATGCTAATGTATCTAAGAGCTTTATGTCTTTTCATAAACTAAAAGAATTACATAAACTTCAGAGAACTGAGGGGGTCATAAGACTTGGATCCACTTCTCACAGGTCATATGGACTTCAGATAGGTTCAGCCTAAGTTTGCCCACCTGACTATTCTTGAGGTATTTTTCTCTCTCTCTCCTGATCTTGGGAATCCTCCTCTTCCCCAATTACTAGGACTACAGGCTGAAAGTTCCAAATACAAGATTTTCCTTTAAGGTCCTAAATGTCAGTGTCTGTCCCTAGTCTATATCTGTCTTCGCAGATTTCCAGTTGGCTGACAGACACATCCAAGCATCAGCTGCTGACTGCAACCTGCTCCAAATGACTGCGAGCCCTGGACTTGTTGAAAGCTGATGTGGACCAGTCCAGCCTGTGTTAATGCTCCCCGTCTCTTCAGCTGGGTGAGCTAACCAGATGATTCTGATGAATGTCCCATTGTCTAAATTCCCTCCTTGCCTTTGAATAGCATTGCAGCCTTCCTGGGCTCTGACAACAATGCCATAGTCTTAGCAGGAAGCAGTTACTTAAGCGAGTACTTCCCCTTGTCCCCCAGCAGGCTGAAATGTTAGATCTTTGGAAACTCCCTGTTTAAGGGACAAAATAGCTACCTATAGTGCCTATTGACATACCAAGAGAGGTACCTGTTAAAACCAAATAGACCCAGAACTATCAACAGGTAGATCCACTAGCTAAAATAGCTCCATAGTTTGATAGGGCATTCAACTTGTTCTATGTAAAACAGAGAGATTATTATATGGCTTTAGAGGAAATTGTTTCTATGTAAACAACTCAGAAATCATTAAGAATAATATGGCTGTACTAAAAAAAAAAGTCATTGCAAAAAGGGCCTTGAGATGAAGGAAATGACTGGTCCCCATTTTTATTTCCAGGTTCTTCCTAGATAGTAACTCTGGTGTCAGCCACCACAAGTCGTTTGGCCCTTCTTGTTATTGGCTCTTGTACCACTGATACTTTAACTAAGTGATCATTTCTGTCTGGGTACCATTAAGCTGATGGTTTTTAGATCCCAATATAAACAGGTACCCATCACAGAGTCAAGGATTTGACTCAGGATACAACTCAAGGGGGAATGTGAGAGCCAAAGTTTTCAATTACCATGCTTCAATTTGTAGATATCCATGAATCAAAAATGCCTCTGATCTGCAATCCCCTTGCCCAAGGACAGACAGTTCCTGAAACGCTAAAGGCTGTTGTTTATGGGCGATAACCAGCCACCTGTTTTTACTGTCTAAAGACGTTTGTTTGGCCCATCTGTACCAGGTGTTTTTGATCACATGTGGGCAGGAGAGGTTTTTTTTGTTTTATTTAAGACTTATTTTATGTGTCTGAGTGTTTTGTCTAATGTATGTATGTGCGCCACATACTTATTGTGAAAGACCCTCTGGACATCCCCCCCCCCCAGAACCTGCAGCTAGCCGGCTCTCATGAGAACATCCCGTTTGCTTAGGGAAACAGGATGCCTATAGTCAGTGAAAGACCCCTACCTAGCAGCATTAAGTTAGCAGCAGCAATAACGCTATTTTGCAAAGCTTGAATTTTTGAACAACATAACTGAAAGCTAGGACAGGGGAGTTCAATTTAGAGATAAGGGCGTTGGTCAACTTAGGGGCAAGGGCGTTGGACCAGGCAGGATATCTATGGTTGATCATCTGGACTGCCAGCAGGGGCTTGGGGTCCAGAAGAAGAGTTTGTACCCTAGATGGGCCGAGTCAGCATGCATATCTGATTTCTTGGAAACCACAGAACTGTACTCAGTTTGAACCCGAGCCTTATTCAAATTGCCCAATCAGAACCCTGTAACTATGCTTCTCGCTTCTGTAACCGTGCTTCTGCTTCCCTACCCTATAAAAAACCCACTGCTCCAACCTGGGGACACGCAAGTCCTCCGAAAGACTTGCTGCCCGCAGGTACCTGTGTTTACTCAATAAACCTCTTGCTAATTGCATCCTGTGGCCTGGTCTCGGAGTTTCCTGGTTCTGGGGTCTTCATCAGAGAGGAAAGGTCCTCGCTGAAGGTCTTTCAATTGCAGACACCAGAAAAAAAGGCATCTGATCTCTTGAAATTGGAGTCACCGAGTGGGTGCTGGGAACTGAAGCCAAGTTCCTCTGCAAGAGCAAATGTAAGCCGGGCAGTGGTGGCGCACACCTTTAATCCCAGCACTCGGGAGGCAGAGGCAGGCAGATCTCTGTGAGTTCGAGACCATCCTGGTCTACAAGAGCTAGTTCCAGGACAGGCACCAAAGCTACAGAGAAACCCTGCCTCGAACCCCCCCCCCCCCAAAAAAAAAAGAGCAAACGTGCTCTTAACCTCTGAGCCATCTCTCCTGCCCCCTGGCCTTGAATGTGGTTGTTCATGATTGAGCTTGGGTTCCCTTGCTTGCATAAGCAAGCACGTTGCCCACTGAGCCATCTACTCAGTCCAAGTTGCTGTTGATCCCCGGTACTGCAAAAATATTACCAAAACATAATGGGATATATAAAGATATGACAAAATATATTTCTGACATATTGTCAAAATATTATAAAACAGTATTATTTTAAAATAAAAAACAGATATCTTAAAAAAAAACATAATGGGAGCCACAACTAGGTTCGCATCTCTGTTCTGTCACAAAGATGTGCAAGTATGAGCAACTTAACCCTTTTTGCACCTAAGTTTTCACTCCTTCAAGAAAAGAGGAGAGCTGGTTGATGAAGGCGCACGCCTTTAATCCCAGCACTCGGGAGGCAGAGGCAGGTGGATCTCTGTGAGTTCGAGGCCAGCCTGGTCTACTGAATGAGTTTCAGGACAGGCACCAAAGCTACACAGAGAAACCCTGTTTCAAAAAGCAAAACAAACAAAAAAGGAGAAATAACACGGTTTTGTGGTGTGAAGAACACACGAGACGATGAACATGCTGTCTGGCACACATTAAGTGCCGCTGTTTATCTGTTTGGAGAGGAAAACCAAGATAGGAGTTAAAACGGGGACAATTACCGAAGTCCACTAACGGAGAACTTTCGGCTGGCTAGGCGCATGCGTCTGTCGGCGGTCGCGCACGAAGGGCAGCGCTGTGCCGGCGACGGAAGTCAGTGCCGGGAAGCCGGCGAGGTCGGTTCCGCCCGGCTCTAACATGGCGGCGCCCTTTGTCTGCCGTGAAGCTCTGTCCCTGGCCTTCTCGCGGCCGTGATGCACCTCCCTCAGTGGTCGGGTTCGGGACATGGCAGGTGAGGCTCAGCCAGTGAGGGCGGCCGAGGAGTCCTGGAAGGAGGGACCGAGTCGGCTGGGGCCGGGGGCTCGGGATGCCGGGACGGTTGTGTGGGGGAGGGGAGGCTCGGGTGGAAGGCGCCGCGGGCCGGGGAGCAACGGGAGCGGCCCGGAGGGGTGGCCCGTGCACCCGTGCTGCCGAAGGGGCGCGAGTCCTCCAGGGCTGGGTGACACCGCGCCTGGTGCCATCTCCGCCCCCGCTGCCGGGCTGTCACCGCCCCTTGACCCCGCGCGCCGGGCCGCGGCGGGTGGGCGTGCTGCGGCCGCGTGGGGGCCAAGTGCGGGGCGGCGCGGGGCCGGTCTGGATGTGTTGTGGAATAGGGGCGGGCGCTGCCCCCACCGTAGACCGCTCATTCATTCTCTCATCCACCCATCCGTCCACCGTGTTTCCCTCCTTCTCTACGCGCCTGACAGATCTAACGACAGATGCCTGCGGACTAAGTCCGCAGGTGGGACCAGGGTTCCCAGCACCAAGCGGAGACTCTCTCTGTTTCCTCATCCTGAAAGCACGGCTTATGATAAAACCTGTCTTGAGGTAATAGGTTGTACGGAGCCTAGCATGCTTATAGTTAGAGAGTGAATGTCCGGAAAGTCCCCTGCTGGTATTTGTGTCATAACCATTCAGAGAGCAACCTCAAGTGGGAGAGAGAGGCTTTTCAGATACCACTGCCCCCGTAGGAAGGGAGGCTTAGCTCAATCTAAGTAATCCAGGCAGTTCCATTCTCCCGGGAAGCTGGACCTAAAGGATGTTTGGGGAAGTGAGGCAGGAGAAGGGTGTATATCCTTAGTTGAAGATGTTGTCTGTGAGGATGCTCCGCTTCCTCTAGCAGAGAAGGGCAATAAGGCCCGGGAGGCTCTGCTAAGTCTTTGGGACATTACAGAGTTTAGCACGTTTAACTTTTTTTGTTTTGTTTTTCGAGACAGGATTTCTGTGTAGCTTGGAGCCTATTCTGGAACTAGCTCTGTAGACCAGACTGGCCTCGAACTCACAGAGATCTGCCTGCCTCTGCCTCTGCCTCCCGATTGCTGGGATTAAAGGCGTGCGCCACCACCGCCCAGCCAAGCACTCTTAACTTTTAGGTTAAGGGGAAAGCACTTAAGAATCAGGTCTGTGGACAAGAAAGATCACTGGGCAAGTCGAAGAGGAATAAAGGAGTGAGCCTAAAGGCAATTAAGAGATCGCTAGGCTAATTAAAGCGAGGCATAAGGGTGGCCTTGAATAAATTTAGGTGCAGGGAATGAATAGGGAGAGATAATTTTGGAGGTAGAATTGATAAAACTTGGTGATAACTCAATGAGAAGGCACAGGATTGTCCCATTTCTTCTTAGAAGTGTGTGTGCACGTGCGTGCATGTGTTGGTCAGAGGACAACCTGTCAAAAGTGGATTTGGTTCTCATCTTCCAGCTCGTTGAGTCAGGGTCTCTCTTGTTTCTGCTGTATAGTGTATTGCAGGCTAGCTACCCCAATCATCCAGATTTCCCGTCTGCCTGTCATCTTTCTCCAGGAAAGCTGAGATTAAAGACGTGCCCCCACTGCCCTGTGGGTTCTGGGGAATCAAACTCAGGTTGTCAGGCTTGCACAGCAAAGCTAGCACTTTTGCCTGCTAAGCCAAGTCCCCGGCGCTGTCTCCTGTCCTTGGCTGGTGGATGTTGGCATTGCTCAGTGCGGTAGGAAGCAGGACAAGGAGCTGATTTAACAAGAGGAAAGGTTTAGTTTTAAATGGGTTGAAAATAACGTGCCTGAGAAGTATTCAGGTAAGCCTGGGTTGGTGGTACATGCCTAGGATCCCAGCACTAAGGAGGCCAAGGAAGAACTGTGGAATTTCAACTTACTGTATAGCCTGAACCCTACTACAAGTTCCAGGCCAGCCTGAGCTATAGAATGAGACCCTGTCTAAAAACAACAAACAAAATCAAAAGCCTGTCTAAAACATTGAGGTCAAGCTATGTGGTGGTGATCTTGCCGCTGTCATCCACCAGAGGTCACCTAGGTGCGGGTATGTCTGGGCTGAGAATCAGTGTTGTGGACATCTCAGGAAAGTCTGGGCAGGTCGTCGGCGCTGACTGGACCTGTCTCAGGAAGGAGTTCCTGAGTATGGAGCCTGGGAGTCCTGATCATTCATCTTGTTTCCCAGGCCCAACACACAGTCTTTTCTACAGCATGTCAATAATAATTCTACTTGGGTCTCTTTGATTCAGGTGATGAGCTGGAGGAGGGGAACCGAGCTGGAGTTCCTACAGGCGCACTGTCTGAAAAGAGAGCCCCCGGCTTTTTGGAGATCTGAGGTATGTCTGTAATACTGGAGGATGGACGCTGTCTGCAGGAGACAGCTTTTTGTTGCTGTTGTTGTTTGTTTCCTTGGCTGCCCTGGAACTCACTTTGTAGGCCAGGCTGGCCCCAAACTCACAGAGATCTACCTGTCTCTTCCTCCCGGGGATGGGATTAAAGGTGTATGCCACTGTGCTGATGGACGTTGGCATTGCTCAGTGCAGTAGGAAGCAGGGCAGGGCAGGCTTGTTTCCAGCCATCGTCTATGCTCAGATCACTGTCTCTAGACTAAAGTCAGGAGGGGTGGTGCACACCTTTGGTTCCTTGGGGACTCAGAGGCAGGTGGACCTTTTGAGTTGGAAGCCAGCAAGGGCTACATAACAAGACTCTGTCTCAAAGAATTTAGTGGAAAAAAAAATCCTTGTTATAGTTTTATTGTGATATTGTAGATGAAACTTTGTTTTCTGTGGTATTTGCTTTGTCACTCAGGCTGGCGTTGAACCCAGAGTGACCTCCTAATCCAAGGAGTTAGACGTGAGCTATCATGTCTGATCCAGTTACTTATTTTTGTCAGCAAAACTAAAGTGGGTATGCTTGCTGTTTTTTTTTTTTCTTTTTTTTTGAGACAGGGGTCTCTGTACCCCTGGCTATCAGGGGCTCTGAACCTCAGGTTCTTTTTTAGTAGACCTGGCTGGCTTCACACTCTGCAGGTGCCATCTGGGTGCTCGGTTTAAAGGTGTGTGTCACCACACCCAGATTTTATTTTATTTTGATTAGGTAAAATCTAAAGTTGTCCTACAGGGCTCAGTGGTAGAGGGCTAGCCTAGTCTGTTTAAGGCCCTGGGTTCAAATCTCTAGCAATGGCTAAAGTAAGCAAGAAGCTTTTGTCCTTTACTCCTTAAGTCTAGAAGTACTCGTTCTACAGCCTGCTGAGCAGCCACAGTGTCCCGTGAGCTACCTGTGCAGCAGGATTTCTCTGACCACGCGGTTTTTGCTTCAGCGCTGGCATCCGTCTAATGGCCCATGCTGTCTCCTTCGTGTCCTGCCGTCACATATGAACTCCATCTCTTAGGAAGAGAGAGCGGGGACCTCATGGTCTCCTGTAAGGCTCTGATGTTTAGAACGGTGCATTTTTATAGCCATCTTGAGTCTGGAGCAAAGAACAAGTCATAACTAATCTGCTGCTGGAGGAGATAGAACCTATCTGCTCTGGCCCCAGAGTGACAGGGTCGGGGGTATGGGGCCCGGCCCCGCCCACGGGAGAGCCCACTGAAATAGTGAGAGTGGGCTGGGTGTGCTCCCGGGATACTGCACATGGTAGCTGGTGGTTCTTGGACACGTGAATGTGCTCTGCACCCAGGGTGTAGCAGACAACTGCTATTGCTTGGCCGGACTGGACTCTAAAAGCAAAGCCCTGCCGACCACATACAGCCGTATGTTGGACTGCCAACTCCCCAACAGCGACCTGGAAACCGTTTATTCATTATGAAAGCTTGCCTTAGCTTACTTAGGCTTGTTCCCAACTAGTTCTTTTTTTTTTTTTGTTTGTTTGTTTTTCGAGACAGGTTTCTCTGTGTGACAGTCCTGGCTGTCCTGGGACTTGCTTTGTAGACCAGGCTGGCCTTAAAATCACTGAGATCTGCTGCCTCTGCCTCCTGAATTCTGGGATTAAAGGCATAAGCCACCACCGCCGCCCGGCCACCAACTAACTCTTAAAACTTAAATGAACCCATTTATATTAATCTATGTTCTGCCAGGTTGCTCGTTACCTCCCTTCAGTACCATGAGTCTGACTGACACCTCAGATTCTTTCCCAGAGTTCCTATCTCTCCCTGAAAGGCCTGCTTATCCTCTCCTGCCTAGTTATTGGCTGTTCAACTCTTTATTAGACCAATCATTTAGGAAGATGAAGAAATACAGAGACACATCTTCATACACTGTACAGTACAGAGGCTATCCTGGAGGACGCACAGAGATCTGGGCTGAGGTGGTGTGCAGACTTAGAGTGAAGTGATGATAAATGTTGCTTCAGGAACAGTGAGGGCTCTCTGCCACCCTACCTCATGGCTCCCTCTAGAGAGCCAGCTGTGTCATGGTCAAGACTCAGTTTCCCCATCTGTAAAATAGGGCCAACATCTGGGAGGTGGTGGTGCACACCTTGAGAGTTGTTCTTCCAGCTTTTCTGAAACAGCTGTTTAAATTTTTTGCCCACTTTTCTATTTGGTTGTCTTTTTAAAAAGGTTTTTTTTTTCCAGTTACTACTGTACTTTATTGTGTTTAACCAAATCACCATGTTACAAAAATAAGAAGCTGCCATAATAAAAAATAAGGCTCCTCCATCCAGCACCAGTTGGCATCATTTTACTTTCAAGCCTAGAAATGCCATAGACACATCTGAAGAACACAAGGGAGCAAAAGAACCATGGCTGTATATCAGTGGGACCACCCAGTGCCAACCGAGCCACTCTGTGGTATCATCTTCTCCTATTTCTGGTTTTTCATTTAATCATAAAGCTCCCTAGGTCTAAACTGTATGCACTTAGAAGTGTGTGCACAT